GCAGCACTGCATCTAAACTGGATAACTGGATAGACTAACAAAAACATTCAAATGCAACGACACTTACATCGCCATCGCATCTCGTGTGCCACTGGCCTCCTTAAAATGTTGATTTTTGTTTTTGACGAATATTCGTAATTCAAATTTTTTTTGACAGCCCTAATGGCAACTATGTCATATAACCATGAAAATCATTGTGAAAATGTAATTATATAAAAGTATATTTATTTATGTGTATGATGTGAATTGTGTTTAGCAGGGTTTCCGCAGGTCCTTAAAAAGTCTTAATGTCTTAAATAAAGTTTTCCTAATATAAGGCCTTAAAAAGTCTTAAAATATCTTAAATTCGGATTCGATGGGTCTTAATTATTTTTGGTCTCATTACCGCTCAAATATCTTCAGTCTGATGGACCTAATGACTTTACAATTAAATACAATAAAGTAAAAAAATAATACAAGTTAAATAACACCATGACAAGTGAGCTATTTTGCTCAATATTCTCACGATGCAAAAAAACAAACATTCAAAACACCTACAGAGTGCACGCATTACGTGAAGTCTAGTGCATTTAGAGTGCGCTCTGCCTGATCACTGCATGATTCATTCTATTAAAATACATTTGGAATGATCACAAATTCAAGACATGGGGGCAGAAAATGTGTATATTTATACTTAAGTTCACACGGAAGAGTGCCTTTTTTTCTCCAAAAATTACGATATACAAATGTGATATTGATTTTTTACAACAGTTCAATAAACTAGATGTTTTATTAAGAGACTTGCGTTTTAGACACCATATTGTTTTTGCACAAAAAAAATTCGCCAACAAAAATAATTCCAGACAAAGCCACAGCGCTGTTTTGCGTCTCTGAGCAACATGACAGTGTTTCATTCCCGAATGAATCAACCATTTAAATGATTCGGTTCAGTCACAATAACTTATTAACTGTGACTTGCTGCCACCTACTGGCGGTTTTAATTTCACATTTAAATTATCTTCATTTTTTTTAATTATTTCAAATGTCAGCATTCAATGTTTTATGTTTAATATACACTCATAAATGCATTTAACACATTAATTTATTGTAATTATTGTTATTTGCAGTGTAAATTATTTAATCTGACTGGTAGCAGCCCTATAGTGTGTATTGAAGTTATTGATAAATTGTAATAATTTGACATGTAAGATGTTGCATACATCTAAAAAGGTTAAAAATAGGCCTTTGTAAAGGTAAATATGCAGATTTAAGCCAAAAATCTCAGTGATGCAGTTATTTTGTGGGGATATTTTGTATGGAATATTGTCTGCTGACATGAAAAGTTCATTGTATATCATAGTAATAAATACCATTTATTACAGCATTGATATTTTGTTTTCTTTTTAATTTATACACATTTTATTGCATACATATATGTAATATTTAATGTGTATTTCCATTACAGGTTTAGGTCTTAAATTTCATATAAGGTGGTATTAAAAAGGTCTTAAGTCTTAAATTTAACTTGTTCAAGTCTGCAGAAACCCTGTTTAGTGATGCCCCAAATGGAATTTTTTAGCATAAAGTAAAATGAAAGATTGAATTTAGCCAAAAACCAGATCCTAGTCTTGTCAGATTTGCAGTATTTTTTGGTGGTGTTCAGGAGTGTCCAGAGGTGTGGGCTTCATTCGATTTGACCGGCGTGTCGAGGCCGAGGAGGCGATTAAAGGGCTGAACGGACAGAAACCACCTGGTGCCACCGAGCCAATCACGGTGAAGTTTGCCAACAACCCCAGTCAGAAGAGCAGCCAGGCGCTGCTGTCCCACCTGTACCAGTCGCCCAACAGACGCTACCCAGGACCGCTGGCGCAGCAGGCCCAGAGATTCAGGTACCCGCTGACACACACTCGCTGCACTGGAGCTGACTTTGACTCGAGTGTGATTTCATTGTGTGTGTGTGTGTGTGTGTGTGTGTGTGCGTGCATGTGTTTCAGGCTGGATAATCTGCTCAACATGGCATATGGAGTCAAGAGGTATGTTCATCTGAGCTGCTGCTTGTTGTGAAAAGCAGTGAGTTTGTGATTTTTAGATATGGCAGGGCTCCAGACTAACTATACTTTTATAGTATCGTACATTTGAAGATCATAAAAAGGTATACCATGGCAGGAAGCAACAATATTGATTCTAGCTGCTATTTTTTCTCAGTCTGAGTATATGAGTCTCACTGGGTCAAAATTGCATTGCTGAAGTAAAAAGAAAATGTCTCACAGTTGTGTAAATCACATTTTAATACATTTAGAGATCATGTGAAATGCCAGTAAATACAGTGATAAACTAATAAACATTATAAACATGTATTTTACAACACATATTTTAGTTCCCATCATTCCAGAATAAATTCAAAATTTAACGATATTTAGAACATTAGTGAAAAATAGTATAAAACAATATAAATTACAGTAGCATAATTTAGACTTGACCCTCTATCACTTGCACTCTATTCGTTTTCTAACTGCGTTTTTCTTTTAAAAAAACAAAAACACTAGCTGTCTATATTCTTTTTCTATTGTCTACATTTTCTTTGTGTGTGATATATATATATATATATATATATATATATATCACACACACACACACACATACATCCATACACACAGTCATGTGAAAAAGTTAGGACACCCTATTGAATTCCATGGTTTTCTGTATCAGGACATAATAAAAAATTATCTGGTCCTTGGCAGGTCTTAAAATTTGGACAATAAAACCTCAGATGAACATCACATTACAATTTATGTAAGCCTATAGTTTTATTCTGTTTTCTCCGTTCACAGAAGCACTGCAGGTGCGTGTGATCTGTTGAATTTCTTACACTATCCTCGGATAAACTAACGCTGATGCATTGCCATTGCGCCATATGAGTTCACAGCTGAGCTCCGGGCATTTCACTCGCTGGATGCGTCAGCGTCACGTTTGCAGGCAGTACTACTTGAATACCTGATCGGTTGACAGCAAATTTCAAATATTAAATGGAACGATAATATAACGTTATTAATCGGTTAATGGCCATTTCAAATTTTCGATTCTGTTCGGAACTATAAAATTTGATTTAATTTCTGGTTTTGTTCCTCTCAAAATTTCATTCGTTTTCGGTTTTCATTTTCGTTGCTTGAACCGGTTCAGAGCCCTGGTTTTGATTTGCATCTATTGTCCTCATTCGTAAGTCGCTTTGGATAAAAGCATCTGCTAAATGACTAAATGTAAATGCATTCAAAAATTACATTGTATTAGCAATACTAAGTTCAAACAAGTTTAAAGTGAAACTGAAACAACCGTCAGATGGGAAATGTGCTATACAAATAATCTTGAGCCTCTCATTCAACACACAGGCAAATGTGTACGCTTTGTGCATGTTTTGCAGGCTTGAACTTAATTGTATTGACATTTCTTTGGAATATAAATTTCAGCATCAGGGTTTTTCTGGCTCAAAATGAAGTGGTGGTGGTACCATCCTGATCATGTGCACACATTGTACACACACTTTAACTGGCGGAAACAAACACTTTTTACATGCAACATATTTTAGGTGTTCTAATAAGTAGATGATTGAAGAAAGCAATAATTATCAAGTTACATTTTACAAAAACAAACCTGTTGAACATTAAATTAAATACAGCATAACTGCTAAAAGGGGCCCTTTTTATAAAATTAATACTACGGTTTCTCAAATCTCACTTCAAACCACCATCGAGTGTTTATAATAACTTCCGATTGCAATATAATGTGGATTTTTTTTTTTTTTAAATAAGTTATTTGTAGTCTTTTATATTAAGCTAGTTGCTTTGCATTTCTAATGTAAACATTCATTATTATGAAAATACCCCAAAACTCATGAAAATCACACAAACTATATACTATCGTAAGAGTGTGTTTATTAGCCTCATGGAGTGGCCTAGCCAGTCTCCAGACCTCAATCCTATAGAAAATCTGTGGAGGGAGCTGAAACTTCCAGTTGCCAAACAACAGCCAAGAAACTTCAAGGATTTAGAGAGGATCTGCAAAGAGGAGTGGATCAAAATCTCTCCTGAGATGTGTGCAAACCTGGTGACCAACTGCAAATGACAAGTCTCTTACGCAGTTACGCAGTACACATAGCAAGGTATATATATATATATATATATATATATATATATATATATATACACACACAAAGAAAAACGAGTAGAATAGAAAGCTAGTGTTTTTCTTTTAAAATAAAAAAAGAAGATCAAGTAGAATTAGAATAGAGAGTGCTAGAGTTAGAGGGTCAAATAAAGATGGAAGAGATGTGTTTTTAGTCTTGAAGATGGTTAAGGACTCAGCTGCTCGGATTGAGTTGGGCAGGTCATTCCACCAGGAGGGAACAGTTAATGAAAAAGTCAGTGAAAGTGATTTTGTGCCTCTTTGAGATGGCACAATAATACGCCGTTCACTTGCAGAACGCAAGCTTCTAGAGGGCACATAACTCTGAAGTAATGAATTTAGGTAAATGGGTGCAGAGCCAGTGGTGGTTTTGTAGGCAAACATTAATGCCTTGAATTTTATGCGAGCAGCTACTGGTAGCCAGTGCAAATTGATGAACAGAGGTGTGACGTGCATTCTTTTCGGCTCATTAAAGATTAATCTTGCAGTGGCATTTTGGATTAATTGTGGAGGTTTGATAGATTGATTATTATTATTATTTGATTGATTATCCCTCTGCGTGCTACTGTTGGCACACATGCCGTAGGTTGCTGACTCCTGGGGCCCGTTCTTCATACGTCGCTAACTCAGTTAGCTGGATTTGATTGTTGACGATTTGGCATGATCTTGGATTGTTTGGTTCTTCAAAGCTCATCCCGGAGATGCTGTCATAGCAACAGGTCCGTAAGCTTAAACCTGCTCGAGGTTTATTTCATGTAAACAGGATTAGATTACATCTTTTTAAGCAGTGTAAAATATAATAACGATATCCGACACTGCTTTCAAACGTTCAGTGCTGCTTTACTTCTTTTACTGCAGTGCACACACACACATGAGGAGGAGGAGCCTATACTAATCCACCACAGAGTCCGGAGTGTTTCTTAAAGACGCATTGACCAAATGACAATACATTACATCTCCCCTCCTCAGCAGAAAACATTCCAACATAACTACTACAAATATATATACAGCCATTATGAATGTTAAACATCTGACTGCTATTTTTTTTCTTTTTTAACTGGAGATAACATGCAAAACATCCAAGTAAAACATAAACAAAAGATTTAGCACACATGCGAAAATTTGCAGTTAATGATGCATGTAACAATAACAATGAACAGTCAAGCATCATCACATCTATCTTGGAAGGAGAGGTTACCAGCACTTCACTTCCACAAGGTGTCTTTACCACACCTTTCCCTAACTATAAGCAGAGCCTGTTTGGAGGCTTCACAATTCTGCCCTGCCTGGTGACATACTGTCCAGCTGGCAGTGTTTGTTTGCTAGATGAAAGCTTTTAAGCAGTGATTGGGGCAAACTAGAGTGGTCAACAGGTCCATGCTCTTCATCACTCAATGTCTCTGATATTTCAGTCCAGTGTTCATTGTCAGACCTGTGATGGGCCTCATTGGCTTTTGCTGTGCTTTTGCGAAGATGCTGAATGTTGCGACGGTACTCCTTACCTCTGCAGTCTACAACATAAGATCTTGGAGCACAATGCTGTCTCACAATATGACACCAGGAGACCACTTATGATTTCCAGGATATGGTTGCATCCTTACTTCATCTCCAGGATTCAGAGCAGGTCGAGGACCACTTGCCCTCTTGCGGTCATGGTAGAACTTTTGGATGATTTTACTTTCGTCCAGTCGATGTTTCACTTTAAGAGGGTCATAAGCACTTGGTGTGAGCAACTGCCGAGCAGCAGGCAGGTTGTTACGAGGCCGTCTGCCCATTAGCAGCTGTGCTGGTGACAGGCCTACTGACTCTTATCGGCGTTGTCCTGTAGTCGAGTAGAAGCAGCAGGCAGGTTGTTACGAGGCCGTCTGCCCATTAGCAGCTGCGCTGGTGACAGGCCTACTGACTCTATCGGCGTTATCCTGTAGTCGAGTAGCGTAAGATGTTTGTCTGTTGCCTTGCACCAGAGTTTCTTAACAGTCTGAACTGCTCGTTCCGCTTCGCTGTTGGAGTGTGGCATGTGCGGTGACAACGTTTTGTGTGTGACTCCATAGCTTCGGCAGAAGTCCTTAAATTCCTCTGCGGAATATTGTGGACCGTTGTCCGTTCGAAGAATGGTAGGGATTCCGTGTCTGCTGAATTGAACCTTGAGGGCTTTCTCGACGGCACTGCAATACAGACCTTTCAACTTATCCACCTCAAAGAATTTTTTATAGTAATCCACCAACAGAACATAGTGATTACCTTCCAACTCAAATAGATCTGAAGCCACCTCTTCGAATGGAAGTTCTGTAGTTTCTGTGGGCTTGAGCGGTTGTCTGGGTAACCGATTCTGGAAATGAGCACATTTGCTGCAGTTCTTTATCATTTAATCTATTTCGGCACTCATGCCTGGCCAGTATAAGACTTCACGAGCTCTCTGTTTGCTCTTAACTATCCCTAAGTGAGACTGGTGTACAAACTTCAGCATATCATTTTGCATGGAAGGAGGTACTACTATACGGAGGCCTTTATAGATGATGCCATCAGCTATGGCAAGCTGACTTCGAGAGTCCCAATACGGTTGGACAACTGTGGGTACATCGCGTCTATGGTTTGGCCACCCTTGCTGTATCATTTGTTGGAGGGCGCTGAGCTAATTTTTCATGCGCTCTTGAAGCACTGAGTATCTCTGCTCACTAACATAGACAAAACTGAGCATAGAGATACACTCCAGGCCTTCAATTTCTGACTTTTTCTCACGCAGTTGTGCTCTAAACCAGGGGTTTTCAACTTTTTAGAACATGCGCCCCCCCCAAGTTGGTCTAATTTCACTCGCGCCCCCCCGCTCTGTATTACTGTAGTCACACCGAATTACTTTATTAACATTAACATAAAAGCAAATATCCATTAAAGCTATTAAAGCAGTGAACAATTTTTCTTTTGCTCTTTCTGATTAACATTATTTACATTAGAAATGCACGGATCCATTATACTGATGTACATTTGATATTTTCTTTACTGTTTACATTCACTTAAAGCAACCGACTGTGCTTACAAGGATACTTGTCAAGACAGCCATTGGTATTCACCTGCTGTCTGAGAAGGCTAGATAGATGTTTGTGCACTTCAGGTGTGTGAGCGGTGCGCATAGAAACACTTTATCACAGCGCGTGAGTACCGCATTGAGATGTCTTGGGCTTAAAATATATTTTTATTGTTTAAACTGACAAAACTTAAAACACGTGAGAATGAAAAACTTTCTCGAGGAAGCAGCACTGGCCTGATCGTTAAGATAGTTTTGGGGGGCTAAGGTGACAGATAGGGGGGCTGAAACCCACCTAAAAAGGGTTTAGAACCGTCCCTGGTATAGCGTGCGCAATTATACTGAAACATAAATATATAACCAGTTTACCTGATTCAGTGTGATGGCTGAGCCTGTTTCTGAGATAACAACATGCCAATCCGTGGTTGGATAAATAAGCGTGACCAGAGTTGCCAGGTTTTCACAACAAAACCCTTCTAATTGCTACTCAAATCTACAAAGCGCGGCAAGCGGGAAAACTGCGGACTTGGCAACACTGAGCGTGACTGATACTCGAGTCAACTCTGCTCTAACTGTCGACTAGCAGTGGGAGTCAGATTGCCCCCTAGTGGATGGCTAAATATTTGTTAACTCATATTCATAAATTCTCAAGGGAACGTCTCTGAATTAACTGATGCTCGCACCCCCCTTGACAGGTGCTGGCACCCCCCTGCGGGTTGAAAACCCCTGCTCTAGACAATGTGTCAGGCAGCTCCATGTCTTTCCCTCGCCTGTATCTGACTGTCAGGTCATACCACTGGAGTCGAAGATGCATTCTTTGTATGCGCATGGGGGTTGAGAAGAGTGGCTTGTTTTAAATGTCTTCCAGAGGCTTGTGGCCATTGTACACCGTGACATGGTTTCCAAAGATGAAAACTTTGTACAGGCGTGAACTATTGACAGCATCTCCTTCTCAATTTGCGTGTAGTGTCCGTCAGTGATCGAGATGAGAAGGCAACTGGATGATCTTCCTGCAGTAGGACAGCTCCCAAGCCGCTGCTGCTGGCATCACAGAAAATTTCGACAGGCTTAGACGGATCAAAGAATTTTAGCACTGGAAACTGTGTGCATAAATCTTTCAATTTGTCAAAGGCTTGTTGCTGTGCCGGCTGCCATGCATACTCGACATCAGTCTTTAGAAGCTGTCGCAGAGGTGCATCCACCTCACTGAGATTTGGCAAGAACTTTGACAAGTAGGTAACAAAGCCTAGGAAGCGACGGACACCATCCTTGTTTGCTGGCGCTGGCATGGACTTAACAGCTTCGATTTTAGCTGGGTCTGCCTTTAGACCCTCAGCTGTGATTAGGTGTTCCACATATTGCACAGAAGATTGCTTTATGTGGCATTTGTCGAAGTTGAGGCTCAGATTGTAACTTGTGGCTCTCTGAATTACTTTATCGAGGATCGCATCATGCTCCTTCTCTGTGGGTGCTGCTATCAGGATGTCGTCCATAATGCTTATCGCACCACTGATCCCCTCAAGCATTTCATCCATTATTCGCTGAAAAATCTCCGGTGAGCATTTCAAGCCAAAAGGAAGCCTCAGCCACCTGAACCTCCCAATGAGCTTGTTGAAAGTTGTCAACAGAGATGATGCTTCGTCCAGTTCTATCTGCAAGAACCCAGATTTTGCATCCAGGACTGAGAAGACTTTAGCACCCGGGATTGCGGAGACTACTTCTTCAATGGTACGCATCGGGTAGTGCTCCCTCTTTATAGCCTTGTTTACATCACTCGGATCAATGCAAATTCTTATCTTGCCATTCCGAACAGCTGTTATCATTGAACTCACCCACTCAGTCGGTTGGTCGACTTTGGTGATGTATCCCATTTTTACCATCTCTTGCAGTTTCTCTATTATTTTGTTTCTGAGTGCCGCTGGTTGACGACGGACTGGATGAACGTTTTTTGCGTTTGGCTCAATTTTAATCGTGTATTTGCGTAGCAAAGTTCCCGTAGTATGCGCCAACTCTGGGTAATCATCTAGCCCAGCTGGCACATTCTGTGTTTCCATTGCACCACTGGAGCATTTTCCTTTGTTTTTCAGGTTAGTTGGCTGCAATGCATCCAGCCGAATGACTAAGCCTAGTGTTTCAGCCGTTTCACCACTCAGCACATTTTCTTGTGAGATATCCACAATCTCAAACTCTGCTATTACAGTAGCACTCTTGTATTTAATTCTAAGATCAACTGCTGCTACTGGTTTCAGCTTGTGGTTAGAGTATGACTGCAGAACTCGATGTGAACGTTTAAGCTCACCAGTGTGCATAAGTTCCTGATAATTACTCAAAGTCAATGTATTACACTTTGCACCTGTATCGATTCTGAATGGCACTTTCTGTGACAGGATTTCAATGTCTGCTGTCCATTTTTCACTACTTACTTCCTTTGTCTGTGTCAAATTAATGTTGAGAATTTCCTCCTCTTTCGTTTCTGATTTCTCCTCAATGCTCGACAGATGGATCTTTTGCGACATACTGCCACCCAGTGGTTTGGCTTGTGACCGTAGGAACAGACAGAGCCTTTTGCTGGGCATTTTCCTTGATTCCACTTATACCTTTTGGGCCGGTTTACATGCATTTCTTTCTGAACATATATTGTTTGATTCTTTTGATAGACTTTTTTGTTTGCCGCTTGGTATTTTGTTTTCACATGCACTGCTCGCACTTGAGACTCTTCTTCCCTGAAGATTTGAATCTGCTTCTGTGAAAGTTCGAATTGCTTCTCTCTAACACCCGCGATTATTGCATCGATCAACATGTCATCTGGATCGGCATACTCGCAATCCATTAGTATAAGTTTCAAGTCCTTCACAAAGTGTTCAAAACTCTCAGCAGTCCCTTGCTTTCTTTGTTTAAAACGATGTCTGACTATCCTCTTATTTTTTCTCGGCCTTACGTAGCTGGCGAGTATGTCCAGAACTTTGAATGGATCATTTCTCTCACCTTCCACCTAGCTGAACTTCTTGTAGATTTCCCTGCCTTGTTCGCCGATCCACGTACCCAGCCAGCCTGCGCGCTGCTTTGCGGTTACCTCCGATAGCGGGCCTTCGAAGACAAACGTGACGTGACTTCGAAATCTTTCAAATTCCTGATACAAATCCGGAGCGTCCCAGTCGATATTTGGGTGTTCGAACTGCGAGGATGCCATATTTCATTATCTGTACTTTGCAGACTTCTGACACCATGTAAAATAATGCACGATACTGACACTGTGCTTTCAAACGTTCAGTGCTGCTTTACTTCTTTTACTGTAGCACACACACACATGAGGAGGAGCCTATACTAATCCACCACAGAGTCTGGAGTGTTTCTTAAAGACGCACTGACCAAATGACAGTACATTACAAGCAGAACTGATACTTAAAATCTGTCCGTTACCACCGCTACTTTATTACAAGAGTATCCTACTGATCCAGGGACAATAATTTAAAATAATAATAATTAAAAAATGTATTTAAAGATAATATAATAATGTTGTGTAGTCTTTAATACTACAGACACCGCCAGTTTTACTCACTGAAAGATTTATTCGTCATAAAATTATTATTGCATTCGAGTCTTACATGCTATACAGATAATGTAGAGTCGTGCATTAATTTGAGTGATGACAGATATTATGGGAGTGGCTTGATGGAGCGCAGGAGATGCAGATAACATGATCTTGACCCTTTAGAAACTTTAATTCATATTAAATACTATCATAATACTGTATGATCGGCCCCTAACTGTGTGGGGATGGAAACTTAATTTGAGCAAACATAGCTGAATCCAAAGTACCATAAGTCATTGGCAATTAAATGAGATTCACAACCTTTGAGCTGTCAAAAAGTCAAAACGTGTTTTGTGTGTGAATAGTGGCACTGCATTAATTTACACACAAGCAGCTCAAGATCCAGTGTTTTCAGTGTCTCAGAGTGTTTACTGTAGAGTGAGAGTGTTTGCTGTAAATGCTGCTGCACATGAACAGTATATCTGGGAGCGCTGTCGCTCATACAAACACAGTTGTTGTTCAGTTGTTTTATTGGCATGAAAAACAACATACAAATGATTTACCAAAACATTTACAGCTTCAGAACATGGAAATGTGCTAAACATTAAACAACAATAATACAAAATGAAATTAAAACAATACATATGTTTAATAATACAATCAAAAGGAAGACAAGGGAAAATAAATTGGAATAAAAATAAATATTCTCCTGCAGGTGTTATTCCCTGCATTCCTGGAGTTTTATCAAGTTTGAACTTGAATTTCTGATTGTTGTCATGTATATTGTGTCTAGTTTAGAAACTACAGTATGTAGGTATCTCACTCTATTTTCCAGTTTTGAAAATTACTCATTTACATACTGGTGTTTCTCTCACTGAGGATTATTATAGTATTTGACTTTTTGTTTTGATTTATGTTTTAATGAATGAATGATGATGGACAAACAGCTGGCATTTCACTTGGAGGGACTATATTAATGGCTCAGTCTACAGTATTAACATTTTAAAAAATTAACTATTATACTCATTCTGTATACTCCAAGTACCTAGTGTTTGGAATAAAACTAGAATATGTTAATACTGTTCTGTTCTTTTAAACTGCTGGATCAGTATTAGCATTTGTCCAGGTGACAGTCTTGTTCAGGACGTGTTGTTTTGATTCACTTGTTTGGAGCTTGTGGAGTTTCCACTGTCAAATACTGTACAATATAGAGAAAGATAAAATACACTAAGATCTGCTTTAATACAAGATAAGAAGTAAAAGCATTTACTCAAAAACTTACTATAGTTTCTCCGGTTTACAGTGTGGATCCTCCAGTAGAGCAGAGAGCAGCTTCACTCCTAAATCTCCTAGTTTATTATAGCTCAGATTCAGTTCTGTCAGGTGTGAGGGGTTTGATCTCAGAGCTGAAATTAGAGCAGCACAGCCTTCCTCTCCAATACTGCAGCGCCACAGCCTGCAGAGAGTGAAGAACATGAATGATCTCTGTTTAAACTTTACGGTGAGAGTCTGTTTGTGTGTGTTTGTATGAGCACTACTTTTTCTATACAGTAGGATTGGTGCTATAGACATTTTACCTTGCCAGCACAACACGATTCCTGATTGTGATACTGAACTTGTTTCCCATCTAGAATTTTTTATGTTCTGGGAATGTTTTCTGCGGCATGTTTTACTTTTGTTCCCAGAATGTTCTGCTAAAAGGTAGAATAACATTCTCTAAAAACATAAACATGTTTATTGGTAACATTATTAGAACATTATCCCCTAACATTCTAATAAAGATTTTAGTGGGAAGATTCCTATTGCACTATATGTGGACTGTGTGGATGTGAAATTTTGTTTAAAAGTGAAAACCCAACCTTTGTTTGATGTCAGCCCCATCATCATTAAATAACTCCAAAAAACATCATATCCAGCTTCAAATATAAACCAGATTGGCTTTATTTTTGTCATACATTTACAAAGGTTCTTATTGAGATTAACAAAGGTTTAGATGTTGACGGTTTAATGAAAATAATAATTTAGTTTGAAGTCACTATTGTTGTGAAAAGGGAGGAGAAACAACAAGCGAACATGTGATGCAGCAGTGCTTTAATCGGATAATTAGTATTTTTATCTGTAATTTTAAAAACACATTGTTCATAAATCGTTTTGAACCAATGAATGCTTAGGTACACACAAACATCAAGAATTAGTCTATGAGTCTCAACAATGGTGAGCCATGGATGAGTTTTGTATGATGATCAACAATCTCACCATTGCTGAGATTCATAAGACCGGAGTCTTTATGTTTGTGTGTCTTAATGACAAAGATTATTTTTTTAAAATCCTTAAAGTGATCTGATTAAAACTGCTGCATCTCAGTCTCCTTCCGATTCCTGTCTGCCGTGCTGCTGAGTGGTTTGTGATTGTAGCTCCGTGTAGCTTCACTTTTCTGTTGAATCTCCATCTTACTATCACTCTGTTGTGTACATGTGTTTTCTCCAGCGCCCTTTGTGTGGATTTACCCTGTGTTCCTTGGATTAAAGACTTTTGATTGTGCTCCTCGTTTCCCCCATACTCCTTCCAACAGCATACCGTGACAGAAGACCTGACCAAAGACAGTAACCTCCGTGTGTTTCCCCTCCGTTTGTTTTCCATTTTTCCTCAGTGTTTTCTTTTGTTCCTGTTGTTTCCATGGATCCCCTCCTTCGCCCCGAATTCCTCCTCCTTCTGTTGGAGCAGGGGGACAGATCTCTCGAGGACCATACAAGACTGTTCCGGCTGTTAGCTAGCACCACCAGCTACCCGGATGATGCGCCGTTGTCTGAGGATGGTCCTCGAGAGGATTTCGTTGCCTTCGTGGAGTGGACTCTGGCGAGAAACGGATCACCATCCTACCCCGTGGATGATCTCATCAGATCCACTCCAGACCCAGAGCCCAGCCCACCATCTCCCCGCGATGCGGAGCATCAGCCTGAGCCCACCGTTGACGGAGAGCCATTTCACGCCGCGATCAGCGAGCCAGCGCAAAGCCTAGCGACTGAGCAAAGGATCGCCCCGGACGTAGAGCTGTATCCGTCAGACCAGGTGCGAGAGCCGGTGACAATGCCTGTCACGAGGGAGAAAGCTGCGGACGGTGTGAGCGTGGAGAGGAGCTCCGCCCCCTGCACCGCGGCTGAGAGTGAGCTGAGTATGGCGTGGCGAAAGTGCCAAACCGAAGAAGAGAGGGCTCCAGTCCCCGAATCCATCGCCCCGGACGTAGAGCTGTATCCGTCAGACCAGGTGCGAGAGCCGGTGACAATGCCTGTCACGAGGGAGAAAGCTGCGGACGGTGTGAGCGTGGAGAGGAGCTCCGCCCCCTGCACCGCGGCTGAGAGTGAGCTGAGTATGGCGTGGCGAAAGTGCCAAACCGAAGAAGAGAGGGCTCCAGTCCCCGAATCGAGTCCAGAGCGCCATCCTGTTCCCGTGTTCAGCCTAGAGGGGGCTCCCGATCCAGAGTTTAGCCCTGAATGCCCGGAGGCTCACAAATGCCCGCCCTCCCACCTGCTCCTGCCTCCTCCACCACCGCTGTTGTCTGGCAGCCCCTCTGCTTGCCCTCAGCTCACCATCATTACGGTGCGAACTCCACGGGTCTGCTATCCTCCAGCGTCACCATGGCTGGAGAATCCCTCATCTCTTCCACCAGCCTCCGAGGCCCGGACTCCACCTCGGTTCCAAGCTCCCTCGCCTCCACCGTCACCCATCAAACCACCAGCTCCACCGAGCTCCCTCGTTCCTCCGGCTCTGCCTTGGTCGGGCGTCGAGCCGCCATCGCCTCAGGACGGTGCAGCTCGTCACGCTGTCCCACCTCGTTGGCTCTCCGTCTCCGCCTCGGGCTCCTCCGCCACCTGCTCTGCCGCCGTTGGTCACCCCCCTGGAGTCGGCGGCCATTCCTCCACCATGGCTCCTCCCTCCGTCGGCTCAACCGTGGGTCGCCATCATGGCTGTGGCGTGGGCCCTGCTTGGCTCCTCCTGCTTCAAGCCCCTCCTGGCTCCTCCCTCCATCGTCTCCTCCCTGGACTCTGTCTGCCGGCCCCCTCCCGGACATACGTCCTCCTCCTGAGCCTCCTTAGTTCCCACCCATTTCCCCCCCTCTGTTGTTCTACGGTGCGAGGACGCACCTTCTGGGAGGGGGGCGATATGTCAGGATCATGGACTGTCTATGTCATGTTTTGCCCCTGTTTCTGTTCCCTGATTTGGTCATGTTCCCAAATCATCCCCTGTATTTAAGTCCCAGTCTGTGCAGTCTGTCTCTGTCGGGTCTACTCGTTGTGTACATGTGTTTGCTCCAGTGCCCTTTGTGTGGATTTACCGTGTGTTCCTTGTATTAAAGACTTGATTGTACTCCTCGTTTCCCTCATACTCCTTCCAACAGTGTACTGTGACACACTCTCTGTTGTTTAAAGTGATAAAATAGAACTTAATTCCCACCATATTTCTGATATTATCTATCAAACTAATCTGATTAATTTGATCATTCGCCTTTATTTTAAAACTGCGAGTGCAGCGCGTTAGCATTTGTTAGCCGGTTAGCTTGTCATTCGAGTTTACATTCACTTCTATTGCTGTTTTCTTTTTTTTTCTTTCTTTTTTTCTCGCTCTGTTTCTTTTCTCTCTTGCTGTTTTTTCACGAGTTCATCAAACAACAGTGGTAAGTCAAAATCATTCATCAATCACAGTGAGTAATGGCTTCTTTTCCTGCTATTGTTGTTTGCACCGCTTGCCACATGTATAGTTTAGCTCTCTCTGTCTGCGACGTGGGATTCACATGTGATAAATGCAGGAAAATAGTTAGGTTGACAGAGAAGATTTCAGAATTAAGGCTGATTTATACTTCTGCGTCGGACCTACGCCATAGGCTATGCGTCAGTTTTCATTTATACGTGCAGTACACATACAAACAGCTAGTCTGCAGTGTCCACGGGCATGTTGTTGGTGTAACCCGCAGTACCACAGCAAAAGCCTAAGAAGAAGTGGCTCGTCGGAGAAGCATTATAGCTGTGACTGTGGCAAATAAATATCAGTTCATTAAATCATTATTTAAAACTACAAAAAGGAGACAAAAACGGAACAGGAGAAGATGGCATTTTTTCAATCTTCACAAGGAATTGTACCACGGCAGATCAACATTTTTTGTCGTGGACAACTACTATTGTATAATGCTATGTAGTAGCATGCGATATTTAATGCGCATCTCGTCAGTAAAGCCGTTCAGTAATCAGCGATAAATCTCCATCACGTGCGTGCTTTCACATGAAGCAGCATTTACTATACAGTAGTGCTGTGTTCAAAATATCGATACGACGATGTATCGCCACAGAGATTTGACAGCTGACCCTGTATCGATACTGTGGCACGTGTGCAGCAGTGGACCACACTTAATTTTACAACGTTTAAAATTTAGTAGAAAAGTGCGAGGTTTCTAAAAAAGAATGAATAGAGCATCTGTTAATAATCTGGCCGCAGAGGAACACAACTGGGTTGCCTGATATAAAGAGACGTAATCCCCAAAACAGAGCTTCATACTTGCGCAATACAGAAATATCTGCTAAACGTTGCTACTTATCTTTGTCAACCTTGCAACCCTGTGCTCACGCGGTAAGCAGTGCTTAATAAACAGCTGTTTTTCTAAATTCTCCTGAGGTGAAATTCAGTGCAGTCATGTATCGTGATACGTATCGTATCGTGGCCTCTGTATCGTGATACATATCATATCGTGACTTTGCTGGTGATACACAGCCCTACTATACAGAGCCGTTGTTCACTGACAAGCTGCGCAAAACCACGAGTCTTCTTGACTTGAATGGTTTAAAATTACATTGAAAGTGTAGTTTGTAATAATAACAAAGGTGGACTCCAGGGACATTTTCGGTAGGACAAAAAAAAAGAGCATTTTATTTAACATGTTAACACATACCTAGGCTTGGGAATCCAAAATCTATTCAAATTCTGGAATAGGATGCTTAAGGTCAGGAATCATTTAGTTGTTATACAATTTACATTTCTTATTGATTCCTTTGTGCACATTTTAATATGACTTTAAACCATTCAAACACAAGAAGACTTGTGCACTGTTTTCTGTACACACATAGGGGCGTAGCCATCATTTCAGAAATGAGGGGACAGAAAATTGACAGGCTTCATTTTTTCTTGTGTCTTTTAATTGGCTAAGAAATCAAGTACACTGCTGGACGATAACCAATCATTTGTATTCTATAACATTTTTTTCTGTTTTCCTAATGACAATTTTAGGATTGGCTTATACAAACACATAATAAGGCAGAATAGTTTCTATATTGTTATAAATGTTATGTCAATTAGCACTGCATTCTTCATATACTATATTTATTTCCTGGAAATTACCTGAAATTACCCTTTTTTTTAGCTACAGCCATAGCTGGATGCCTTTGTCCATTTTAGGGATTTCCTGTAAATCATAATTTATTATTACTTCTGCTGGGCTGTTTTGGACTTTGGACTGCGGGAGAGCGCGAGAGCGCCCTCAGCAGTGTTGCCAAGTCTGCGCTTATAATGTGATATTTAGCCCCTGGAGTCAATAGTATGTTCCTGCACAACCAGAGGCTGCGGTTTCAGGACCGCAGTTCTAGGACCGCAGTTCTAGGACCCTATGCTTTTGTAACAGCGCCACCTACCGAATCGGATAATATAGCGGCGGCTGCAATCTCGAATTTTCCGCATTTCTGGGACCCTGGTGGTTTAGTTTGTAGTAATGTTTGTACATGTTGTTAAAGATATTGAATCTCAGGAACATTTTTTTTTTAATTTCAATTGTGATTTTTGATTTATAAATGCATCAATGTTAATTACAAAGTGTGTAATACACTTAAAATATAAATGAAAAATGTATTTCAAGTCTTTAAACAACTGAAAAAGTGGAGTACCTTAAGTCTTAGTTTCTTGAAATATACTGTATATTGATTAAGTTTAACTAGCTCATTATCAGGTATAATAAAAATGGAATCAAATGAAATCAGCATTTGCAGTCACTAAATTACAGCCAGATATTTAAAAGTTTGTAGAGAGACAAGACACAAGACTCAAGAATGATTCAAGAATGCATATTTATATACTGTATATACTCATTTTTGCAATAACACATAATACAGCATCATAAAATTGTGGTGCAACCAAGCAATGAGCCCAGTTTAATTATGAAAGATGATTTATACTTAACTAATATGCTAAAACTATGAGTATCAAACAAGTTTTCACACTAATACAGTAAGCTACAGGTAAATCTGACACATCTCACATCAACATGCTTTTATCATCTTTTTAAGTTTAATGAATGTACTGGCTAGATTTACGTATTGTAGTCATTATGTCAACAAGGTTTAGCTTAATTAAATCATGGCCACGAATTAAGAACATCGTAATAATCAATAAAACTAGCAATAGGGAATTCATTATTATTTCTTAGCAGTTCTCACGTTGGCTACGTAAACTTTGCATCGTTTTAAGGTTATAAAATAAAACTTAATTGAAAATCGGTAAAGTTACTCACACTGATTGCTGTCCATGTCGTCCATCTTTAGTGATCCAATTCGGTAGGGGGCGCTGTTACAAAAGCATAGGGTCCTAGAACTGCGGTCCTGAAACTGCAGCCTCCGGTTATGCAGGAACACCCTTCTCCCTGGAGTGTGAATTTTACCAGGGGAACCCCGCCAAAAACTTGAATTTTATGCGATTTTTAACGGCGAGCCCCCCTCGAAATGCGATTGGGATAGTTTTGGGCTAGTTTTGAGTAGCAATTGGGCAGGTTTTGTTGTGAAAACCTGACAACCCTGGCCCTCCTGCTTCGAGTATGAATGAAACATGCACTGCATGTTATAATCTCGTTTTGGATATGAATAAATCGTCAGGTCATACATAGACTAAATTGTTTCTTCGCCCATGTGTACACACATCCAAAGCATGCACACAGAAAAAGTGATTTAAAATGCATCTGATTGATAGATAAATCATGGTTGATTTATCAGTCAGATGCACGTAAAAATGCATGTGCTCTTATTTCAATGTTGTTGTTAATGTTGAGGTTATTTTAGCTTTGTACATTTAGTTTAACTGCACTGTTAAAGAGGGCGATTTTTACCATTCATGTGAACAGTGTGGATGTATTTTAGACACTTACATTGCTCTTGCTCCATCCATGCAATAACTGCATCTTTCTATCAACCGAGTTTCTATTTACTTATACTGCTGTGTAATATCAACGGTATGACCCATTTCAGGAGCTGACAAAATTATAATTTAAAATCAGAGCATAGCTTGCATTCACTAAAATATTGAAACGCTATGCTGATTCAAAACGACAGGGGGGGGGGGGGGTAAAGGCATCCTGTAGCGAATCCATGCATTTTTGTAAGAGAAATATTCATATTTTCAAACATAATAAACACTTTTTTCTCACTTCCACTGATCCGTCTTATGCGGAAGCCGTTCAGGCGGATGACGTAGGATGTAGGTGTCGTGCGCGCGCCTCTGGGAAATGCAGGAGCAAAGGAAGCAACGTTTCCTTACTTTAGCAAAGGAAAACCAGTCTCCTCTTGGCTTATATCGAAATCCTCAGACATTCTTCTTTACAAATCCTCATTTTGTACTTCTAATAAGTGACCGTTATTTTGTTTTGATCTCTCTGCTGCGCTTCCGCGTGCGTTCGTCACTTCTGAGCAGTGCATGCACAATGCCGACCTCATACGTCATCCTCCCGGAACTGCTTCCGTGTACAACAGTGAGCGCAGGCTACATTAAAGTGATTATTACATTTTGAATATGGATATTTTTCTCACAAAAACACATCGATTCGCTACAGAAGGCCTTTGTTCACCCCCCGGAGCCGTGTGAGACGCTTTTTTTTTTAATGGATGGGCGCTTTTTGGACTGATGCATGCAACACCCGCTGAGTGGCATTAAAGAGCTTGAAAGATCAAAGACAATTTTTAATATAACTCACGACTGGATTCATCTGAAGGAAGAAAGTCATATACACCTAAGATGGCTTTGGGATGAGTAAAACACGCATAATTTTCATTTTTGGGTGAACTAAGCCTTTAAGAAATTAAAATGTTATTGAGAGAAATAAAACGCAACCAATGTTAAAAGAAATAATTTGTAACACTATTATTGCGTTTCAGATGCTCAATGTTGATGTCTGTGAATGTGTAAATAACACTGCCATTCGTAACTTTTCAAAGCATGTTTTGTGTCATTGATACACTCACAGACATCAACATTCGGCATATGAAGCAACAATGGTGACACTTCATGCCAGCACACAAAACACATTCATGGCTCTCAGCATGCATTGCTGCAATTTTTTGTTGTTGTTGTTGGTTTGTTTTTTTTTATTGTCACCATTGTTGAGATTTGTATGATGAGTGCTGATGTCTGAGTGTGTTGTATTCAACTTTTAAATAGTTTTGGACAGTCTTACATAAATCACTGAAGTGTTACGATATATATATATATATATATATACATATATATACAGTGGGTATGGAAATTATTCAGACCCCCTTAATTTTTCACTCTTTGTTATATTGCAGCTATTTGCTAAAATCATTTAAGTTAAACTTTTTAAACAGTCTGTTAACTTTAGACCAGTGGTTCTCAAACTATTTTGGTTGTGCCCTCCTTTAAACCTATAAAAAAATCTTTATGACGTACTGACACAAAGTTAAAATGATTTGCAATGGTCGCTTTGTCGCGTCAGTGTAGAGTTGTTGCGGCATCCGGTATAGACTCAGTGAGTGAAGCCGAGAGCAAGATATGCCTCGTCATATTTTCTGCATTTAGCTTTTAAATGACCAGCACCTGCCTGGGTCTGTGCCACTTCATCTATGGCTTTTCTCTTCGCTTTCACAAACCGATCCATATCCCATTCTAAGTTATGTCCTTTGGCTATTTAGTGTTTTATTTCTTTTCTTTTTCTGCTGATGGCCCGCGCTCGACTTGAAGCAGCGCTTCTTAGGTGGGTGTGTGTCATCAAAGTACTGTGAGAGGTATAAGAGAGCGCGGACGTCTCCTTATGCTTTC